TAATTCATATTGATCTTCTTTGGAGGTATCCTCAGAACAATCTTCATTGATGTTGACAAATTTGTTCAATGTCTTATTATATCTCCTGGATTTACTCATGATTGCTAGAAAAGGGACCAAAAATGCATTATTCTCTCCGATGCCATAAATCGAAATGGAAGAACACGAAGAATTTTGTATCAGAGCTTTCATAAAAGCCTTCAACAGAAAAGACTCGGAACAAATAATTTCACAATATTGAACGTGCAAATTTACAACAGATATCTAACTAGAAAATTTACAAGTTTGAACATGAAAACTATCGAATCAGATTGTTTACAAAAAATTTCTATAGACAAGAAATAAGTTACATGTGGGTAAAACGACCAACTTTAAAAATATTTAATGAATCAATTTGACTCACATCCGTCAAAATAGGTATAGCACATATGGATTTTGGTAACTAAGGAGGGGGGAGAGAAAGGAATTAGCATTTCTATACATTTCATAATTTTATTAAAAACCAACATATGTTTTAAAAATAAATTATTTAAGTTTGCCCAGAAGGATACGGACGTTCGATGCTCGATAAATAGTATGTTAGCCAACGGATGGCGGCGCTGTAATCATCTCTTCATCTTTCTTAATCTTATGGCGATACATAACGATTGCCTTCTTTCTTTATCTTACACCCAATATTCGCCTTTCTGTATGCGTCTCTCTTCCTCCCGTACGTGAAATATCGTTGGCTAATACGTGCAATCTCTCTTTTACCCCCACTTCTGGTTTGTTAGCCAACTTTTAGAGCATCAACCGCTAATACAGGATCTGGGCTTCTATGGAACTTCTGAATTTTTGGACCAAACTCAGTAATGATAAAATATATTATATTTCGTTTGAAAAATACCTATAATCGTGTATTTGCAGCATATAATGTTTTAAGGTGAAGTGAAACTCCCTTCAAATCAGTCGATTCGAATACAACACTTTTTTTTAAGGGTATTTGACCAAACTGTTCGAAACTTTGACACATCACTCCTGATCATCTAAGAATTGTCCTGACATGTTCAAAATTTGGATTTTTGGAAAAAATTTTTTAACTCAGCCCAGACCAGAACCAAAATGGCGTCGACCTCTCATATTTCAATCAATATACAATTATCGAAGGCTCTGATATGAGAATCGAAAGGGTCAGGACAATTTTACGACAATTTAGAACACTCTGGTAATCGATAAACTCGCATTTGAACGGGATAAAGGCAAAAAAAGTGTTGTATGCGCTTCTATGCCAAAACGATGGGAATACGAGGTCTCGGAGTGAAAATTTAATTGATCTGGAAATCACAGATGGCGCAGGGGGTTCCTCTGAAGTCAATTAGGGCCCCAGAAAGCACGAATCCAGAGGATTTCTGGAGTTTTACTTCGATATCTTTATAATTATTATACGAAAACGACAGGTAGAGTATGCCATTTGGTACAATACCCAATATAATTCGATACAGCTGTCAATATAAAAACGAACGTCGGCAACGTAGGCATTTAGAAAAATCTTCTTTATCGACGTCGATCAAGTTCCTCGACGTGTTTCACTTCACCTTAAAAGACGTCGCAAATTTTCCTAATCTTCATTAAGAAAAAGACAATGTGTTTATTTATTTAAGATGCGGGTAGTCCCAGACCAATGGCGATCTTCGAACTGCTTGACTACATTGTGAATGAACCACCACCGAAACTACCCAGTGGAATTTTTAGTAATTCTTTTACAGACTTTGTTGATCGTTGTTTGAAGAAAAATCCTGCAGAAAGAGCTGACCTGAAAACCTTAATGGTAAGAACTATTTAATAGAATCTGTTGTCCAAAGATATTGTTACTTGAAAGTAATTGAGGAGAATGCTTATGTAATATCTTACATTATCCTCTACCTTCGTTGAAAAAATGGGTTAATAGAAGAGAAATTATGTATTAAAGTTTTGATTATTCGCTCCAATTCTCGGGAAAAATAGCCAAAAATTAAAGCAAAACCCAAGTTAGAAGTTCTATGCAATAAGACTCAATTTACTATTTCACTTTAAATCATTATTAATTACTTTTGAAGTCATTAATGGTAAATTAGATTTAAGGTCAATTTATACACGTCCGATTCGTATCCGTTTCGTCTCCGGAAACGGAACGGATACGAATCGGACGTGTGTAGATTGACCTTGAAATAGTTTATTTATTGTTGGTTTCGATATACCAAAGAATTTGACAATGTCATTTATTATACATGATTTAAATAGAACAATCAAGGTTCATTTAAATTAAATTAAAGTTATTATTACTATGCCGAAGAGGAATCATATCACCAGTTCACCTTCAATCTAACAGACGTGGTTGCTGGTGTTAAAAAAGAAACACATTTAACACTAGATTGCCGGATGTGGGGTATATACCTATTTTGCCTGAAATGAGTCAATTTGACTCAAACATCAAAATTGTGTTTTTAAAAAGAAATAAAATTTTATTTTAATGAAACTTTATTCAAAACAATTGTTACATATATATTCTGGAAGCGCTCTTTACAGTACCAAGTATAATATTTCTTTTGGGGTAGGAAGTTGGCCCTGAGACATCTTTGAATTTGGTATGACCAGGAAATCTACCAGTATTTTTACCATCTTTCAATGTTTCCCATAATGTCCCATCGGCAGCCCTTTGTGTTGAAATTTCTTCATTATCGGATCTATCTGCAGGGTCTAATTCACTTTCGGTTTCAAAATCAGGAATATATCGTACTCTTTTTTTAGGTATATAACGATCGCTATCACTAGCACTTGATTCACTTTCAGATAGAAAACAAGCTCTTCTTTTTCTAGGAGCTGTACGATGAAGATCTTCATCTTCACTGTTCGAAAATTCAATCCTATTAGCTTGATTCTCTATTTCATATAGTTCGGTATCCGATGCATCGGATTCGATATCTGATTGGTTTCCTCTTATTTGGGTCAGTTTTTTTCGCAATTCAAGATCTCTTACATTTTTTGTCATAATAGCAACCCTTATCTAGAACTAAAATATTTATCTACATTTACGTAAATACATCTTATAAATAAATTTTGATATTATCTTGGTACGCAAAAATTCTTGAAAAATAATTTATAAAATTTATTTCTTTTTTTTTTGTTTTACCAAAAATGCATTATTCTCTCCGATGCCATAAATCGAAATGGAAGAACACGAAGAATTTTGTATCAGAGCTTTCATAAAAGCCTTCAACAGAAAAGACTCGGAACAAATAATTTCACAATATTGAACGTGCAAATTTACAACAGATATCTAACTAGAAAATTTACAAGTTTGAACATGAAAACTATCGAATCAGATTGTTTACAAAAAATTTCTATAGACAAGAAATAAGTTACATGTGGGTAAAACGACCAACTTTAAAAATATTTAATGAATCAATTTGACTCACATCCGTCAAAATAGGTATAGCACATATGGATTTTGGTAACTAAGGAGGGGGGAGAGAAAGGAATTAGCATTTCTATACATTTCATAATTTTATTAAAAACCAACATATGTTTTAAAAATAAATTATTTAAGTTTTTCTATATATATATAGCAACAAAATCGTAAATGAGTCAAATTGACTCGTTCCGGCAATGTAGTGTTAACGAAATCGTCAAAATGCCTCTCATAATATTATTAGTGTTTGATTCCACGTGTAATGGTACTTGTTTTAATTTAGAATCACGAGTGGATTAAAAAGGCAGAGTCGGAGAATGTTGACATCGCTGGGTGGGTTTGTCGTACCATGGATTTACAACCGACCACACCGACTCGTCTGGCAAACGTGCAGTCCTGAATAAATGTCACTCTTACATACTTGACCACGTACATCCGCGTTCAGTACTCCTAAGTCACGATTGGTTTCTTTCCTTTGATTGATTTTTAAGAAACAGTGGCGCTTTTTCGTTCGCACGCGTTTTTTGACGAGGTCCATGTTAAATTCCAACTTTGAAGTCAGATAAATTAACGGTGCGGTTTCGTTATCCTTTAAAAAAGAATTTATTCACCAATTTTATTCTACTAGTTGAAGAATGGTAATCGCTAATTGTCAAATTATTTATTTTTATATTGTATAATTCTATTTTGTACGATGTAAGGTCGATTTTCCATTTTTCTAGTACATGGCACACGGAAATTATTCTTACGAAAGTTGTTCGGAATGATATTAGGAATAATTTTTATTAATGGCACGTTCCGCTACCTCGTCCCGTTAGAATGGAAAATTCATTTCACCTGTCGCAGTAGAAAATCCAGTTTATGTGCTTCTTTTGCTTAACGCTAGGTTTACGGGCGTTTTTTATGTACCTATTTCTACGAGCACCCGTCAAATTGACGGGTAAACGAAAATACGGAGTTTCTTTCAAAAATCGATTTATTCAAATTAAGTCTGAATTAAACAACACTAGGCTTTACGTTTAAATAAATTATTAATAAGTTAAAAGTCCTTTTTTAAAAATTATCACGGAAATTATTGGAATGTTCGTCCTGTCATCCTCAGAGTCAGTACTAGAAAGAACTCATCCTTTTCTTGCTAGGGCACACTTTCAAGAAGTTTTCCTCTTCACTGTCCGAAGCTCCTTCTGTCCCTCCACTTTCAATGCATTGCACTCAATGCACTCTCAATGCACATTCAATGCACTCTCAATGCACTCTCAATGCACTCTCATCTTCGCTTTGGCGTAATTCATATTGAGCTTCTTTGGAGATATCCTCGGAACAATCTTCATTGATATTGACAAATTTGTTCAATGTCTTATTATATCTCCTGGACTTATTCATAATTGCTAGAAAAGGGAGATTGGTAAAAATAAACAAATTATTAAAAAGTAAAAAGTCCTTTTTTGAAAATTATCACGGAAATGATTGGAATGCTCGTCCTCTCATCCTTGGAGTCAGAACTAGAAAGAACTCATCCTTTTCTTGCTAGGACACCCTTTCAAGAAGTTTTCCTCTTCACAATTCGAAGCTCCTTCTGTCCCTCCACTTTCAATGCATTGCACTCAATGCACTCTCAATGCACTCTCATCTTCGCTTTGGCGTAATTCATATTGAGCTTCTTTGGAGGTATCCGCAGAACAATCTTCATTGATGTTGAGAAATTTGTTCAATGTCTTATTATATCTCCTGGATTTACTCATGATTGCTAGAAAAGGGAGATTGGTAAAAATTAAAAAATGATTAAAAAGTAAGAAGTCCTTTTTTAAAAATTATCACGGAAATGATTGGAATGCTCGTCCTCTCATCCTCGGAGTAAGAACTAGAAAGAACTCATCCTTTTCTTGCTAGGACACCCTTTCAAGAAGTTTTCCTCTTCACTATCCGAAGCTCCTTCTGTCCCTCGACTTTCAATGCATTGCACTCAACGCACTCTCAATGCACATTCAATGCACTCATCTTCGCTTTGGCGTAATTCATATTGATCTTCTTTGGAGGTATCCTCAGAACAATCTTTATTGATGTTGACAAATTTGTTCAATGTCTTATTATATCTCCTGGATTTACTCATGATTGCTAGAAAAGGGAGATTGGTCAAAATTAAAAAATGATTAAAAAGTAAGAAGTCCTTTTTTAAAAATTATCACGGAAATGATTGGAATGCTCGTCCTCTCATCCTCGAAGTCAGCACTAGAAAGAACCCATCCTTTTCTTGCTAGGACACACTTTCAAGAAGTTTCCCTCTTCACTATTCGAAGCTCCTTCTGTCCCTCCACTTTCAATGCATTGCACTCAATGCACTCTCAATGTACTCTTATCTTCGCTTTGGCGTAATTCATATTGATTTTCTTTGAAGGTATCCGCAGAACAATCTTCATTGATGTTGAGAAATTTGTTCAATGTCTTATTATATCTCCTGGATTTACTCATGTTTGCTAGAAAAGGGAGATTGGTCAAAATAAAAAAACATACTGTGCCCAAATTCAATTACCCTATTGTAGATACAATAAGCGGAGACTGTCTACAATAACTGAAACTTTTGCACCCTGTCTTTGAAAAATTACCTTACACTCACTACAAAGAAGCAGATATATATGGATTGTTTATGAAATTAGCTAGTCCCTCAATTTGACGAGTTTCGTAGAGATACATATACAGATTATTTACAACATACAGATTTTAATAATTAGAAGGCTTAGGAAAAAATAATTGTGTGTAAAAATTCTTTGGATGAAATGATTAATTTACGATAGAAAAATGGTTAAAATCAATGCTATGGTTTTTTCGGTATTTCTTTTTGAAGTTTGAATTCCGTCAAATTGACGGATCCCGTAAACCTAGTGTTAATAATTAGAAGGCTTAGGAAAAAATAATTGTGTGTAAAAATTCTTTGGATGAAATGATTAATTTACGATAGAAAAATGGTTAAAATCAATGCTATGGTTTTTTCGGTATTTCTTTTTGAAGTTTGAATTCCGTCAAATTGACGGATCCCGTAAACCTAGTGTTAATAATTAGAAGGCTTAGGAAAAAATAATTGTGTGTAAACATTCTTTGGATGAAATGATTAATTTACGATAGAAAAATGGTTAAAATCAATGCTATGGTTTTTTCGGTATTTCTTTTCGAAGTTTGAATTCCGTCAAATTGACGGATCCCGTAAACCTAGTGTTAATTAGAAGGCTTAGGAAAAAAATAATTGTGTGTACAAATTCTTTGGATGAAATGATTAATTTACGATAGAAAAATGGTTAAAATCAATGTTATGGTTTTTTCGGTATTTCTTTTCGAAGTTTGAATTCCGTCAAATTGACGGATCCCGTAAACCTAGTGTTAATATCGTGGATTGCGAAGGCTCGGTGTGATTGCAAAAATTTCGATGAAAATTATCGGCTAATTACGGGGTGAAAAAGTAAGATAACCGTGCAGATTGTCTGTACTTCAACATTACGGACCCTGACGAGGGAACATTCCCAAGTGTCCGCCCCCGATCTTATTGATTTTTATATATGTTGAAGAACACAAAAATCTAAGAGATACGTGTTTTTTTATATCTGCAATGATCCACATTTAAGGAGTGAAACAACCCCCCAAAGTTTGGCGAAAATTCGATTTTTATAACAATTTTCGTAGAAGCAATGGAGGGATTTCGACGAAACTTGGTATAAACGTATTCCGTATAAGGATGGTGAAAACACAATATTGTCCAGCAATGTTACACCCCCCCAAGGGGGTGAACTACCCTTCAGGGCGACATTTTTTTGTAATATCTATTAAACAAGCATTCCTACTTAAGTCCCACTTACGCGATGTGATTACTCACAAAAAATGAAGAAATACGTGTTTTTTGCTTTTTGCCAATAAACATTTACACATCGGTTGTAAACAATGAATGTAGGTGGTATACGGGTATATTTCGACTAGCTATGTTGGGTTATATCGTGACCAATTCATTGTACATAAATCTTGTGAACGTGCTTATTCCTCAGAATGTCCTTGGTTTTCATAGCATGCAATTATTTATAAATAAATTTAAAATAAAGTTTAAGAGACTAAAATAGTTTCGCTACAGATCCGATGACGCAGTCATCACCCGTTTCCAACTAGTAATACAATCTCCTTGGTGAAACGGTAAAATTGGATTTTTATCATTTTTACGATAATAGAGTTAGCGATATTCGTAAATAATTGCATATTATGAAAACCAACGACATTTTGAGGAATTAGCACGTTCACAAGATTTATGTACAATGAATTGGTCACGATATAACCCAATAAAGCTACTCGGACTATACCCGTATACCACCTACATTCATTGTTTACAACCGATGTGTAAATGTTTATTGGTAAAAAGCAAAAAACACGGATTCTTCATTTTTTGTGAGCAAGCACATCGCGTAAGTGGAACGTAAGTAGGAGTGCTTGTTTATTAGATATTACAAAAAAATGTCGCCCTGAAGGGTAGTTCACCCCCTTGGGGGGGTGTAACATTGCTGGACAATATTGCGTTTTCACCGTCCTTATACGGAATACGTTTATACCAAGTTTCGTCGCAATCCCTCGACTGCTTCTACGAAAATTATTATAAAAACTGAATTTTCGCCAAACTTTGGGGGGTTGTTTCGCCCCTTAAATGTGGACCATTGCAGATATAAAAAAACGCGTGTCTCTTAGATTTTTGTGTTCTTCAACATTTATGAAAATCAACAATGTTTCCTTGGGAGTGGAAGAAAAATGAAATATAAAACTTTCGCGAAGCGTAAATGTTAGAATTTGACTCTGGTATGACAGATAAGATTGAAAGTATCGATGATAGCACGTTGTGCGCCACTGAGCTTGTATTTTGCTTTCGAAAATTCATGTTCTCAAAATCAGTATCTTTCGTTTCCTTTGAAAAGTATGTAAGATAAACACTTCTAGTATACATTTAGTATCGTTATACATTCGCAGGCAAAGCGTGCATGTTCCCAATGACGACGAGGGTAAGATATATACAGAAAGATGGGCATAAATTGAACAGTGATAATTTAAAAACTACTATTTAGGGACATTACTCATAGAAGATTTGTACCTGAAGGCTGTAGAGTGTTGATTCCACAAATTATTCGGGCTAGGGCTACTTATTCGGAGAGACGCAAACATATTATATTGCTTGCATTTGTTGAGTGATATGAAAATATTTTTAGCGTTATCTGTATAGTGATATTCCACTGTTTGTCAAGAGCGAGATGATTTTGCGTTGTGGCAAATCAATGAAAATCCCAAACCAAGAAATATCTATTTAGAACATTCAGACTCTGTTTTAGGGTGGTTTTTAATACCTATTCATTTGACAGAGTTTCGTGGTAACAATAAACTCCGATCGATGTATAATAATTCGTGCAATCAACGGCTATAGTGAAGCGACGATATTCGATATAAATCAAGAAAACGGTACTGTAACTGTTACATCGCTTCCAATTATTGTTGAAAGCAACAGCTATTACTTAGAGAACAAAAGATTTCGTCAGGGAATGTGTATACTGAATTAATTTAAATAGGTTGATCGAAAGGATAACGTCAGTTTTCGATGTAATTTACTTTAGTAGCTGATATTATGAGAAGGAATTCGACTGGAATTACAGAACTATAATAAGTAACAGGCTTCGGTTTTGAGTCCTTAAGGTGATATGAAACTGGCCTCTGAAAAGTTAAAATATTTATTAAACTTTTCTCCGTACACCGAATCGTTTGAAACTTTGCCACGTGATTATGGAAGCTCCAAAAAGAGCCGCGATGCTCATGAAAATCATTTAAATCATTAAAAATCATTTAAAAAAAATGTTTATTTGTCCCAGACCAGGATCAAAGACATGTATTTGTGATATTTTATGCCGTTTGAAAATTTAGAATTAAAAGAAATACTTTCAGTTTTTAGGCAATACCATTTAGAATACTTTAGTAACCGGACATTACGGAATAATGTGGGAAACATTCAGAAAAGTTTTATACATTAAGGGGTTACACCACTTTGACCAACCCAAAAATTACGGTTTTTCAAGAATTTTCTTTTAAGAATTAAAACGTTTTTATCCAAATTAAAGTACAGTAAGGTATTATACTACTATTAAATAACAAAATGCTTTTTTTGTGTTTTTTTTTATTTACAAAAATGGCGACTTGAAAGGCGATTTACCGGAGCGCTGCGAAAATCGACGATCGTGCGGTGGGCACGATAACTCAGTCCAGGTTTAAGTTAGAACAATAAACGAAAAAGAATTAGTTTCCGTAGCCCAAAAGCTAGCAAAATACGTAGCCGTTTTCAAAAATATGCATTTTTCGCAAAATGGCATCGATTTGAAAGGAAAGATACGTATTTTGCCCTAAATTTCGTTAATTAATGTTGCATAAAAAACCCGAATATCAATACATTAAAAAAACCATACGTATTTCGCTAGATAAACATATCAGGACTAAAATAAAAAAAGAATCAAGGCGATTGATTGAAAATTGGCGGAGCTAGAGTGCCCACCGATTTTTAAAATGCAGTTTTAAAAAAAAACGCGTTTACACCTATCCACCTGCCCACCGCACGATCACCGATTTTCGCAGTGAGCGAGTTTAATAGTAGTATAATACCTTACTGTACTTTAATTTGGATAAAAACGTTTTAACTCTTAAAAAAAAATTCTTGAAAAACCGTAATTTTTGGGTGCGTCAAAGTGGTGTAACCCTTAATGAACTGAAATTCTCGTATATCCCTTAAGCAACATGTGCTCTCTAAGTGCCAGTAGAGCAAAAATTTTGTTGGCATGTTATCATCAACAATCTAAATGGTAGCACTACTGCCGAAAACAGTCTAGCTGAATTACATTTTATCTAAGTTGATTAAATTTTTAGGCGCCGTTCATATCACCTTAAAACGTGTTTTGGAAATATTAAAAAAATGATAGTCCTTTATTGTAAGAAATTTCTAAACCTTTTGTTAAAAATGTCGGTTCCTGTAATTGTGGAGACATTTTAAATAAGTATAAAACTGTGAAATACCCTGTTCTAACTAAATAGAGTAATCGCCATTTTTCATGGATTATTTTTAGAAACTATGTTAACGGATTGTATGTTTGGTCCTACGATCAGTAAACTACACCTCATTTTATGGCGGCATAATTGGTATATTGTCGAAAGTCACTAATAGTGGGTACACACTATCCCGACCTTTGTCTGCGTAAACGAAAAATCGGCGTCGCGTGGACCCACTATAAGATGATCTTTCTACCTATTTATTTGTTATTTGCCTATTTCTATACATTCTTTTAGAATGAATCTGGGTTCATAGATAATAATTAGCCTTTTCCGGTCTGGCTTAAAATATATCGGAGTTTCTTACAAGTGCAATGTGATGTTTGCGAAGCGCGCAGAGTAGCGAATAAACGTCAGTCTGCCTAAGCGTAAAACGCCCGAGAACTGATCTACCATTTTGTAATAAATTGTTCGCAAACCTAGAACGCTTCGACGTTAGTTTAATTTCCATTTAAGCATATTCCCCCGATAACGTGGTAGGAAATGATGGTAAGAAAATACATATCTAGGTTTGCGAACTAGTACGCTTGCAGCATTTATTTTACGAATGTATAGAATAGTTATTTTTTTTTTTAATGAGCTCAATGAAATAGTCTGTTTGCTCGATAAGTCTGTATCGAATTCTAGCACTTTTAGGATGTATGCACATTCCTAATTGTCTCCAGTTGTGCATAATAATTGCAATTGTATCAATAGTCTATATTATCTACGTGTTATTCCATTAAAATGCTAAATATTTATTCCTGTCTGTCTATTTCTATTTCGACGAAACCTTAAATGAAAAAGAGATAACTTTTGCCCATTAAATTTGTATCCTTAGACATTTACGGAGTATAATAATTAAACGTAAATAATGCGAAACGTATTGCATGACTTTACCATACAGAAATATACCATTCTGTCAAACTATTGTACTATCGATAAGGTTTGCCCTGTCACTTTACTGCATCCCACTAAAATTCCCTTTTGGACTGTATAAATGATGCGCACGCATCGCTTAAGTTGAAGTGAAACCCCCTTCAAATCAGTCGATTCGAATACAACACTTTTTTTTAAGGGTATTAGACCAAACTGTTTGAATCTTTGATACATCGCTCGTGATCGTCTAAGAATTGTCCTGGCACATTCAAAATTTGGATTTTTGGAAAACATTTTTTAACTTAGCCCAGACCAGAACCAAAATGGCGTCGAGCTCTCATATTTCGATCAATATACAATTATCGAATGCTCTGATATGAGAAACGAAAGGGTCAGGACAATTCTACGACAATTTAGAACACTCTAGTAATCGATAAACTCATATTTGAACGGGATAAAGGCAAAAAAAGTGTTGTATGCGTTTCTATGCTAAAACGATGGTAATACGAGGTCTCGGAGTGAAAATTTAATTGACCTGGAAATCACAAATGGCGCAGGGGGTCCCTCTGCAGCCAATTAGGGCCCCAGAAAGCATGAATCCAGAGGATTTCTGGAGTTTTACTTCGATCTCTTTATAATTATTATACGAAAACGACAGGTGGAGTATGCCATTTGGTACAATACCCAATATAATTCGACACAGCTGTCAATATAAAAACGAACGTTGGCAACGTAGGCATTTAGAAAAATTTTTTTATCGACATCGATTAAGTTCCTCGATGTGTTTTACTTCACCTTAAGGGTATTAGAACAAACTGTCCGAAACTTTGACACATCACTCCTGATCGTCTAAGAATTGTCCTGACATCGTTTCGTTTCGTCTCTAACTTCGTTTCAGTGGATGGAACAATTGAATCGCTAAGAAACTTGTTAACTTTTAATGCAACATGTTTTAATATATTCTTTAAGAAATTCTGTAAGTAATCATTTAACAAACACTACGTTAAATGGATCAGGGACAGTTTACAATAATATATAAATAATTATCATTAATTGTTTTTGTTTATAAACATTTATTTTCTTTTGGAAATCTATACTACCCCTTGGGCGATTTAAATTCCGCGCTGCTTCCGCCACTAGTACGCCACGCGGCTGGAGAGGGCAGTAAGTCTGCGAGGAAACCATCGATGAATGCTAGTGTATGTTAGCCGCCCACGCCGCACACCAGGGAGCAGCACAGAATCGTTCGCGCGACCCTTTCCGTCAGCAATCTCCCAACTCATCTCTGATTGGACTTTATGTTACCGACATATCGCACGTTTTAATCCATCAGCTACGAAGAGAGGGCAGTACCGCGCCATAGCTAAAAAATAGAATAGCCGTAGCTATTCTCATCTCTCTGCTTGAAATTTCAAGCGTTGGACTCTGTGCGTCGGCAAAACTGGTCCCCCCCACCCAGGGGGGTGACACTCTAATCGGAGAAATTAAATGGTGTTTGCAGCGCCATCTGACCTAGTAGACGAAAGTGAAGAACTAATTTTGCGCTTGCGCGTTACTCATTAACCAATGACATCTGTATTATTTCTTCAGAACCCTGTAGTACCCTGGTGACATCTATGATTTTCATTTTTTACCTTCTACTCAACCTACCTTCTTCTGTTTATTTAAAATTTTCATACGTCTTAATCATCAAAATTTGAAATAACCTGTAATAGCGGTAATAGCTTTAATAATAGAGAATGTAACAAACTTTGGCAATAAATAATTACTAGAAAAAGTGTGTTTTTATTTCTGTACGAAAGAAACCCAGGACATTCAATGCGTTCCTTATTACAAGAGAAGGAAAATTAGTTCTCATTTCGTTCCCAATAACGTATTCCTTTTGTAAATATATTTTAAAGTTGCGTATAAATTATCATCGTTATCATCGAATAGAAATACAACGAAACACCGTAGGAAGGTATATTTATGTACATATATAGATATATGTAATTTGGTAAGTAGAATGTAAATGACATTACTATGGGTTATGTTTCTTTGAAACTCATAGATTATTATAAAAGAAAAATTTTTAATTTATCTCATTATTATTCATATTTGTTCGTATTACGAACCCGATCGATCTGAAAATAATGATTTCAAATCATATTGCATTAACTTAAAATTTATAATTGCTAAGAACTGATTATAACTAAATTATAAAGTTAGAATTTTAAAGAAATTATTATATCTGTGAGATATGCAGCTAATAAGTTACCTAACTTTATTAACTGCAAAATCTACAGTAATATTAGATCATTTTTTCTTAAATAACAGTTTCTGAATTTCATTCAATTTAAATTTATGGCGGGAAATTTGTTAGTTCATACTTCCGGTACTATTGATCCAGAGGTCGCTGCAAACACTAGTCTCGAAGAATAACATGCGAATGTCAGCCCCTTGCCCCCACCCCCGAATGATTATCGATGAAATGGAAGATCGTATACAGCAGTATGTCCACGGGACAATCGATCTTTTTTACTGTTTTTCACGTAAGATTACAATTCGTTTCTTACAATATTTGCCCACGGAGCTGTTGTTGTACATTGGATATGTTAATAAAATGAATTTGACAACAAATTATGATTAGATACTTGCACACGCAATTAAAAAAATTGGAGTAAGAAATCTGCCACAAATGAGTTTATCCGCATTTCGTTCTGTATACATTTAAATAACAGTAATGTGAAGTTAGTTTTAAAGAAGTAACGGGCTGTCGGAACAACGGGGACATTATAACATCTCGAATTTTTTAAGGTCACTTTCACCGTTACTAATAATCATTGCATTGCGTAGCAGCGTATTGAACATTTTTCAGTTTACGATTTGTCATCTCTTCTATATTGTTAACGCGCAGTTTTTATTAATGTACAGAACCATTTTAATGTTTACGCATGTTATTTCGATTGTAATCTTGAATAATTGTATTGTTTTTATATATAGTAGCAATAACATTAAATATATACAATATGTAAGAGTAAATATAAAAAATACATTTTATGGTAAATTAATGTTGAAGGTAACGATTATTTTATTATCGTTTATAGATCGTATATTTTATATTTAAAATTAATATCTTATATCTCATTGATTATTGGCGCCGATTAATTAATTTAATTGAAGACAAATTATTAAAAAAATATTTAGTTAACATCTCCAATGATTATATCTAAAATTAAAGTTTTGTGTGATTATATTTCAATTTGTATTTTGGATTACAAGAGAATACAAAATCAATTTGATTAAAGCATATTTTGACGAAACCATTTATTGAGTGTCCAATGATTACATGCATAAGTTCGTAAATTAATTAAACCGTTTTGCTTCGAATCACTAATCATGTTACTACTACTAATGAATGTAATGTATTTCAAGGTAGCACGAACGAATCTGACTGCGAAAGTACTTTATCTAGCACGGAAGATGGCGTTCCAATTCGGAAGTTATTTATTGGGAATTTAGCACAAAGAGTAAGTGATTACCAAATGAAAGAAAGTCAATTGATGTCAATTCGTAGAAATATCGTGATGTTAATAGAAATGTAACAAACTTTGTTTTTAGACAACCTATATAGATCTGTTTTCTGTATTTTCTAAGTATGGCAAAGTTGATAGTTGTTACCTCAAGAGAAACTCAAAGAACAATTTTGCTTTTGTTACGTTTAGCAATGTCACAGATGCCTTGAAGTAAGTTGACCGTGTTTCGTACTAGTAAGTTTCAACATCCTTCGATTACACTTACATGGTATCTATTTTCTTAGAGCTAGGAACGAAGGCAAGAAAATGGATATTTATCTGCATAATCGACTTTTAAGAGTTATGCCTGCAGATTCGTGGCATCAGCCAGACAGTTTTGAAAATAGAAAAAAAATGAACTTAATACAAAATAAAATAGAAAAGAAAAGTGAATCCGAAGAGGAAATGTCTTCTAAACGTAGTACAAATTACAGTATTTTGAATTCAGATAGCAATAACGGAGATCCTGAATGTAATACTACAAATGATACACTGATTCATATGTTAAATGATCATTGTTTGATTTACATTTTCTTATTTCTTCCAATTACAGATAGAATCAGAGTAGAAAGAGGTAAGTCTCATGGTCTCCGTTTGAAAAAAAAAAGGATTTTTTAGTACAGGGAAAATTTATGATACTTGCTTTTCAGTGTGTAAACGGTGGCAAGCAGTGAGCCAAGAGTCCTGGCGAACAGTAAGAAGACTAAATCTGTCCCTTACAACTTGGGGATATGTTAAACAAAATCAGCAGCAAAGCAAACCAAAAATCAGCTTGATGGTCTTACGAAACATCTTGCTGCGTTGTGGAAACTTTTTAAATCATATAGACTTATCACAAAATACTTATACATTAAAACAAAGTTCTCTAATAACTATTGGGAAACTTTGTCCACATCTTCATACCATCGATGTCACTGGTTTTAGGGTAACACCTTTTGGTATAAACTCATTGGCATTAAATTGCTATAATATTGTCGAATTTAATCTAGGCTCATGCATTTCTTCATGCGATCGTGATTTAACGAAACTCTTTACCAACAACAAACAAATACGATCTATAAAAATAGTCAAAAACACGCAAATCTTGGGAAAATGCTTGATATATCTTCCAGCTGAAACAATGCAGGAAATTATATTAGATAATTGTATTGCAATTGATTCTTGCTACTTTGTTAGAGTAAGTTGTACCGACATCTTTGCAACCTTAGTTTTATTTATTTATTTTCTTTATCGATTCTCTATAAGTTTTTCTCCTTTGAATCCTTAGGCCATCGCAAAATTAAGGAAATTGACTTCCATAACATTAATTAAGTGTATTACTCTTGAGGATAATGATCTGTTTGCAATTGGGATTTACTCAGAAAATCTTGTAAAACTCAAATTATGTGGTCTTTATCCGATGATGACAGCACACTCATTGCAACATATAACAAGGCTATCCGAACTTAAATTATTACATCTTACGGAAAATCCAACAGTAGAAGATGACTTTTTGCAATTGTTGGTAAAGCACTGCATACATCTTACCGATGTAGATATTGCTGGTAAGATAATTGCAATAATTTACATCACAGGCGGTTTGATCAAAACACTTTTATTTCGATTGACTGAATTGTTTTCCTGAGGTTAATATGTCTTTTTTAATTCACAGGTTGTACAGCTGTAACGAATGAAGGCATGTTACACTTGGCATCGCTGCCTAATCTAGAATATTTGGTAATTAGTTATTTAGACAAAATTACAGGGAAACATTTAGGAGAAATGCACAAGGTGAAAACATTAGAATGCCGTGGATGCTCAATGTTAATGGACCAAGAAATCACGAGCTTGGTGCAGTTTTGTCCTTATATGGAGTTACTGGACCTTTCAGATTGCATTCTAATTAGTAGTAGAACTCATGAAGCTGCTGTAAAGGCAACAAAAGTACGCACAAGCAATAAAGTCCTCAAGATGATTGTCGGAGGAACATCAATACCTAAATACTCCACGTTCGAAGTGTCACCGTTTCTACAAATTGTTCACGTTAACCTTTCTAAACTACATCTTACACCTATGTATCATCACAGTGAATCTATGGCGTTTCAAAAAGAAAGAAGTGATGCCGACGAAGACAGCGGTACTGACTTAGATTTGTTTGTGGATTAGATTCTGTTGGTGGCAATGAGGAACTGTAGTTTTCTGATTTTGCAGAGAGAACACAACCCTCCTTAAAGACATAAACATTACATGTAACTAATTTCTACAACTAAATTCGTGAATGCTGAATGTACAAGTTAAACGCTTATGTGCGAGAAAAGAACAAAAAACTGATACTAATGCTTTACTGATTATATTTATACTAAATAGATCATTCGTAGTGTCAGTTTCTCGTCCATTTAGGATTTTCGGTCCCCTAATCTAAGTTATCAAAGTATCACATATTTTATTCTTAACGTTAATTATTTTTCTAATTTACCTTCATTTGATATATATATTTCTGCAGTTTACTAACGAACATGGAAATATGTTTCATCATAAATTGTTAACGTTCATAGTCGAATATATCACAGCATTGCGAATCACAGAAGAACATATTGTTGTGTCTGAATTTGAGTCACTTACCGCTAGCAATGAGAAAAATAATGTTTATTGTTTATTTGAATTTCGGCCCTTCTACTAAGGGTTTAAGTACCATTGTTTTTTTTTTGCCAACGCTACGCGATACCACTTCTTGATGGTCACCTATCCAAGGAACTACCGCGCCCGACGTCGGTTAACTTCGGTGATATTACGAGAACCAGTTTATTGACGCGACTACAACGTTAACTAGAGATTAGTTTAATTTTCTTTGGTTGGTTTCAGGTCTTGCATTAACCACGAGGGTAACACATTCTTGCATTCGTATTGTGCAGCCGAGTTGGTCAGTACGGATTAGTTTTGTAAGTTTATTAAATAAATGATTATTTTTCATTATATATGTACATTTATGTAAAAAAATAATATAATGTAGAAAAGTAAGAAGTTTTGAATACCCCGCGCAAAATGACGTGGCTCACTAGCGCTACGGTGGTTTGTTCGAGTACTACTGGAATAATTTTGGCGAGGGGGTAGTGGAGTCGCCAGTCTATATGTATCTCTTGTGTATGCTGATAAGTAAAGAAGAGATCAGTCAAATCAGGGGGGTGACACTTTAATTGGAGAAATTAGATGGTGTTTGCGGCACCATCTGACCTAGTAGACGGAAGTGAAGAACTAATTTTGCGCTTGCGCGTTACTCATTAACCAATGACATCTGTATTATTTTTTCAGAACCCTGTAGACTCTGGGGACATCTATGATTTTTATTTTGTACCTTCTAGTCAATCTACCTTCGTTTGTTTATTTCAAATGTTTAAATCATTATAGTTTGAAATAACCTATAATAGCGTTAATAGCTGAACTTTAACAATAAATAATTACTGTAAAAAGTGTATCTATTATTTATATTCTAAAATAACTCAGTATATCATCAGTACGTTCTTTGTTACGATAAAATAAGAATNATAAATTATTATAACTGTGAGATTTGCAGCTAATACGTTACCTAACCTTATTAACTGCAAAGTGTACAGTAATATTAGATGACTTTTTCTTAACCCTTTTAGTGCCGGAGGCCGATATATCGGCTCGCACCTTGTAGCACTTTACTATTCGCTTTGCGAGAGTTCTCTATCTCAAAATAAATTTATAATGCGTTATAAATAGTCTAATTTCATAACGAGAGAATTAAAATAACGATACAACAACACCTATAACAACCTATAACCTATAACAATTACTTGTTTCGGATGAGATAATCCGTCCGGCGCCTACCATGTGCCTTGGAGTTATTTTTTATGTTTCTTGTGCAATATTACTTATTTTGTTAAAAAATATATTGGAAATTTAAAGTATAAACTCTGGAATAATGATAAAAAGATGACTTTTCCTATGTGCAATTACGTTTTGAAACAGAGAACTCAATTTTTCTTTTTCTTTTATCACTTATACCTTTGTTATTTATGTAATTTTCAATGAATATAGAAAAATTAGCGTCACTATTTTATTCTCTGTATTGTCCTTAATACTCTGCTTTTTGAATTATGTAAATATTGCTTTTCGTTTGGATTTTATGAGCCTTTTTTCAAATCCTAGTAAAATCGTAAAATTCGGCCGGTTATCTTCGCATAAGCATCTCTTTTTCGCCCGGCACTAAAAGGGTTAAATAACAGTTTCCGAATTTCATTCAATTTAAATTTATGGCGGGAAATTTGCTAGTTCATCCTTCCGGTACTATTGATCCAGAGGCCGCTGCAAACACTAATCTCGAAGAATAACATGCGAGTGTTAGCCTACTGAGTCAAATCTCTGATAAAGTGTGGTACTGGGCTCAACTCTCTGGAGCAAAATTCCTTACACGAAGGAAGAAGAAATCTCTGATATTGGGCTTTGGATAGTAAGCTGAAGTATATCCCGAAGAGGGAGGGAGAGAGAGAGAGAGGAGAGATCCGTCGTCATGGGTGAGACAGGGAAGATGATGGAGACGAGGACCTTAACAGGGAAACAATTTTTTTTTACACCGAAACCTGAAGACTTCAGTACCGATGGACAGACAGATAACTCCTGGGCTATTGAGTTATTGACTGGTCATGATGTTAATGAAGGGAATGCCCTTCTTTATCAATATTGGCATGTGTTTGGTGGAGCAACCACGGGAATAGCAGTGGCTTGTGCTTATAATCTATTAAGAAAGAGACCATTATATGCTGGTAAGATGAATAACAACCCATTATCACACTTTTTGGGTGTAGATATTTAAATAAAAATATGTTCGAATTGTCACATTGGAAACATTCGTTTGAACATAACCTTAGTTTTGGGGTTATGTAATCCTAGTCTGGACTGAATATAATAGAAATAGAAATACAATCAAACCTGTTTTTGTGTGGTAGATAGGGACCGCACGAAAAAAATATTCAAAAACTTCATAAATAACTATAACAAATAATTTTTCAGAACATATTAAAGAAAATTTTTGTTATGCGGTGGAGAGGGACCACATAAAAAAGTCTGTTAGAAAATATGTCAAAGCTTTATGAAATAGCGAGAAAGTGCTTCCGAAACAAAATAAATAATTAAATTATACATGGAAATATTTTTAACAATTTTTATTTCTCATTTTAAACATGGAGAAATTTTCAAAATGTACATAATTCAATACTACTTGTCGTGGTCTACAACGCGCATATTTTTGTGATAAACGGGTTCGTAATCGCTTTCCTCACTTGAAGATATTAGAGTTGATTTATTTTTTGTTACCATGTAGTCGGTGATAAGTTTTTGCTTTCATTTGATCAGCTGCTTGTAAACGTCGTGATAGCCAGATATACACGATTGAAACTCTTTTTGGAATTTCAAACTTCTTTCGGAATTGTTATCTATTTTAAGAAAATGCTTTTCCAATTTGCTGCAAAGCTGGATCCCTGCATATATTTTATCCGCTGTCATAGAATCCTGTTCTTCTTCATGATCTGTTAAGTTATTGAGAATGTCACTATCATTTACGGTTTCGTGCTTAATCATTTCGATAAGATCATTTTCGCTAAAAGTGTCAAAACCTTCTCCGTAGATGTTATGTGCTAGCGCAATGATTTCTATTGATAACGTGGACGTGTTTTCGGTTACATTCCTATTAATGACACATTCAGGCCAGACCGCTTTCCAGCACGAATTTAAAGTGTGTTGTTTTATTTGAGCAATTGCTGCAGTAGCGAGGAATAGAATCCCGATATTAATATACCGCATAAAAAAAAATCGCACAAAAACAGGTTTGATTCTATGTGAAACGTTTTGCAAATATAAGTTTAAAGAGTATATTTGGCATTAATTGTTTACAAATTGATCCTTCTCAAAAATAAAGAAATTATTGTTGATTTTCATAGTACTAGTGCTGCTAACGGATTTATTTATTTAAGAAAAGTAGGACAAATCGTTATCGAGTAAAAAAATACCAATTAAAATGCAAACGTTGTAAATAAGGGAACACGATTTCATTATTTATTTAAAGTACTCTGAACTTGTCATTGCCTTTCCATATTATGATTAAATGGAGGTATACGTGCATGTTGTGTTCGATGGGCTTTCCAAAATGGCTTTATTATCTGAATCATTGACTGGAGTCCGATAATACAATCTATAAGAAAAGACAGTTTGTATACAATTATCATTGAAGATATTTATATGCCTCGGTAACAAATGCCAGGCATGAGAATACTATTATGTGTCTGCAAGCAGAAAAACTATGGTACATGCAGAGCATTATGATCCGTTACAGTTATACTATTAAGTAATGCAAAACATTTTAAACTTTAATGGTGTTGTTGTTTAGTTTTAACATAACACGGTACATTTTAGGTATACAGAGACATATTATATGTGGTCTAATTGGTACTGGAATTGGATACTTGTGCAAGACTCGATACCTTAGCAAGATTGCAACGAGAGATGCCATACTTCGTGATTACATTAAACTTCATCCAGAAGACTTTCCTCCTCCAAGTAATGCAACATCAAATGTTATCTATATCCGTTACTGATCGATCCAATTTTGATAGGCATCAGTGAATGAAAATGAGAGTTTTTAATATTCTTTTCTATTTCTTTTTTTACTTCTTTATACAATTGTTCGTGGTATTTTAATATTTCGTATTCACCAATGATGTATTATTTTCAGTAAAGAGGACGTTTGGTGAGGTATTCATGAAATGGACACCAATACGTTAGGTAATTCAAAATATATTTAGTAATTAATTGTCATGCCAGTAATGTTAATATATTGGGAATAATCAAATTGTTACGCCTGTTATTCGTGATTGCATGAAGACGCATCTGCAGAATAAACTGGCCCTACGAATTTGTGAACATAAACGTGTTCTTTATACATTCATGAAATTATCGACATTTTGATAATGTAGGCGTGAAACAAAATCCATTGGTGCATCTCTTTTGTGCAATCGCTTCATCATTAATGTCGTTCATCGGTATATTATGATGTTGCTGCACCTCATACGAGAAGACGATTAACCACATCACCTAATATCATATGGAGCTAATGCGTATTGATCTCTGATCAATATTTGCATGATGTCGCCCAATTTTGTTAATTTATCATCAGGTATCATTCAACATCGAATTCGTATGTTTACTAGGGATTAGAGGTTGCACTACAATAACAAATCACGCAACCGGAATTACGACCGTGTCCAAATTCGTCAGAAGTTGCTTCTAGTATATACAGTTCTAAACGCAGTAAGTTAGGTTAGGAAGGATGAGAAATTCCTGGTAACTTATTGGTAATTACTCCAAAGCGTTCTTTGCCGAGAAATGAGAATTTAAATCAGGGGTCTAATATGCGTGTTTTTCTGCGAGGCCAGGGGGTCAACACTGCCATGTATTGGGGTGTAACGCTTTATGCACTACCGCCATCTTCGGTTGGAGTAAACCTTCGCGAACTAAAATATTTGGCAGGTTATTCAAATTCATTTATTAAACGAAGAGATATTTTCGGGATTTAAAAAGTACTTCCAATGATCAAAACAGACGTTGCTTAAACTGACAAACAAATGTAAGAAAACAGTGTATTAAACATAAAAGAAGTAACAAAAGTGTCAGTGGCGCAACGCCTGTTTTAAATCACTGTAAGAACTGAAATAATTACATTAAACATTAGTTAAACAGTAACATATTTATTAAGATAAAAATATTAATTGTTATGAATGTATAAATGTACAAATTTAATTTTTATTATGATTACTTTCATGGATTAAATGCGATCTATAGATCGCATTTAATCCATTTAATTATTACAATTATTCTAGTAAGAAACTACAAACTGTTCTTGATTGACACTTTTACTCACAAACTCACGTTCGCGATTTAATACCCGAAGTAATCCAAACTTGTAAAAATATTGCCACTAATCGAGGTTAGGTTCAATTTGGTTCACTTGTCCCGACTATTTTTATGCGCATCTACGCTGCGCCTCCTAGAGTCTCTTGCTATTGGTTAGAAAATGTTTTCTCTGTTCTTCTCTTTCTATCAGACTGAAAAGTCACGACACCAGCGCAGTCTTTGCTTGGAGTAGGTGAACTAACTTCAGCGTTACACCTCTTCCATAAGGAGTGTCGACCCCCTGGCTAATATTTTCAGAAGGTTTGTTCGTGTTGTCAGCACTTTCTACACTCGAGTGTAACGAGCAGGGTTGGGTAAGTATAATACGTCAAGTAATATACGTGGTTTTCTACACGTATGTTACAATATCTGGCAACATATACGTCCCTAGTTTACTACGCAGGCACGAAGTATATTACCCCAAACTAAATGTGCAAAGCGCATGCGCAATATCGTCAATAGCCAATGAAAGTCCACCTATTTACTTCTAAGAGAGATTCTCATTGGGTGCATTCAGAGGAGACAACTGTTGAGTGATCGGTTAGCGCTTATCTGCTGAATGGGTACGTTCACTCAACATGTTTACTGATCAGACGCCATTTTATGTATCACAAATTTTCTACGATACCTACGCTCAACGTGTTGGGTAGATCAAATTCAAATTCAAACCGTGTAGATTCAAGTTAATGAAGCCAGGATGGCAAATGAAATCAATTATTACAGTGAAATGTATGAAGTAAACGGTCGTCCGTACGATGTAGTAGAGAGTGCAGAAGTGCATAAAATGTTACAAAATGGTACGTTATTTCGAAATGTATACTTAACCTTATTCTAATGTATTCTATCTTCCTAATATAGGCCAACAAACTAATAATAAATAAACAATGAAGTTAGTATGAACATGTGAGTGTTCTTTCTTCAGACGTTACATTCTGTTACGAATATTTTTTTAAAAATATATCATCTATAGAAGTTATTGGTGTATGTAACGAAAAGATGCAAAATCCTTCAGGTAATGAAGTAGCTGAAATAATACACGACGTACATGTACTGTAAGCACTGACTGCTAATATAATTAATATAATTAATATAATTACATTAGTAGTCAGTGCTATAAGGAGGTTAGGTTACACAACACTGGATGCCGCCAAACCTGACACTGCATACTGCTCGCTCGTGCGGTGTTACCACTCGGCTACGCACTAGTTGCGAGGACAGCTAACTCCGCTGTCTTATATTCTACGAATCACATTCCTTTGAACCCAAGGGGTAATTTACCCTTTGAATGTATCGGATGGTACCTGATCGTATTCTTTTATTAATTTTAATCGGTAAAGTCCTTTAAGTCCAAGAAAGTCGTACAAAGCTGGTTTTAAAACGAGATTATACATCATTTTATTAAAGGGTTGTTACAACCCTTAAAATTCGTTTTCGAAAAAAACCAAAATATCCTATTTTGTATTGTTCTGGTCTATAAATTAACCAAGTTTCATTTGGATAGAGCAGTTACTGCTCGCGTAAGGGGTAAAAGAAGAATTCAAAGGGGTGGCTCACCCCTTAAAAATGAATTTTTTCGAAAAATTCCAAATGTATGTTTCATAATGCTTCATTCCTTACATTTTGACGGTTGTTTCATGAAAATCGGTCGAGTACTTCTATATGAAACAGCAAACTCACCCCCTTGCACGGCCAACTTTGAAGCCTGAGTTCACCCCTTCAAAGTATTTATCCGTCGATAAAAAAAAAAACACGGGTCCCTTAGATTTTAGTCCTCTATAACATATTTAAAAATGAACAAAATCGTAGGGGGACACCTCAGGTACCTTCCTTGTAAGAATTGCCCTGACATATTCAAAATTTGGATTTTTGGACAAAAATTTTTAACTCAGCCCAAACCAGAACCAAAATGGCGTCGAACTCTCATATTTCGATCAATATACAATTATCGAAGACTCTCATATGAGAATCGAAAGGGTCAGGACAATTTTACGACAGTTTAGAACACTCTGGTAATCGATAAACTCGCATTTGAATGGGATAAAGGCAAGCAAAGTGTTGTATGCGCTTCTATGTTAAAACGATGAGAATACGAGGTCTCGGAGTGAAAATTTAATTGACCTGTAAACCACAGATGGCGCAGGGGGTCCCTCTGCAGTCAGTTAGGGCCCCAGAAAGCATGAATCCAGAGGATTTCTGGAGTTTTACTTCGATTTCTTTATATTTATTGTACGAAAACGAGAGGTGGAGTATGCCATTTGGTACAATACTCAATATAATTCGACACAGCTGTCAATATAAAAACGAACGGCGGGAACGTAGGCATTTAGAAAAATCTTCTTTATCGAAAACGTTCTCGTTCTCTCACAGTTCTGTTAGATCCATTCAGAGCCATATTCAAGCATAGGGCGTGAGCGGTCCATATATTATACGTCCATGATTACATGATGTGTTATACTTACACAACCCTGACGATTTTAATTGACAAGATTGGGTAAGAGAAAACAAAATAAAGCATATGTGAATTGTGTATGCTGTAACACAATTCATATCTTTGATTTTACAAAATATGGTCAAAGTAAGGGATATTCTGAACTAAATTAATATATAAAGAGTGTATGCTAAACGTTATTATTTAATAACAATTTCAGTATAAATACACTTCAAGGAATGAAAGAGGAGGGGATGCAGAACACACTTCAATGTCAGAGTTTTCTCAACATGATTCAAACGTTGGACGAAATATCAAGATTATTATTAATTCAGTTGAAAATATTGTAAGTATCAGAAGTAAAGTGAATAATAATAATTAAAATCATAAGTAGAGACTATGTCATTGAAGGCAATGTTCTTTCAGCGCATAACCAAGACTGGGTGACAAGAAATTTCGTTATTTTGTTCGAATAAAATGATATAGAAAATTAAAATTAAAATATTAAGGACCTGCTTTTGTTTATTCGACATTTATTGTTTTCACGCTCTATTTGTATGAGTAGAATTTTTTTTTACATTATAGGGAAATTGTAATCTTGCAGATCAGGACGGAAACTGTAAATGTTCGAATGTTGGTAGAGCATAATGGAATGATTTTGGGAGAAACGCCCATTTTTTTATTTTTGTCACGCTCTATTTGTATGAGTAGTACTTTTCTTTTTTACATTACAGGGAAATTGTAATTTTGCAGATCAGGACGGAAACTGTAAATGTTCGAATGTTGCTGGAGCATAATGGAATGATTTTGGGAGAAACGCCCCTTTTTTTAATTTTTGTCACGCTCTATTTGTATGAGTAGTACTTTTCTTTTTTTACATTATAGGGAAATTGTAATTTTGCAGATCAGGATGGAAACTGTAAATGTTCGAATGTTGGTAGAGCATAATGGAACGATTTTGGGAGAAACGCCCATTTTGAGTGTCGAACCTGACTTCGGGGAACCACCAAAGATCCACAAAATAAATCATACTATAAATTTCCCCATAATCGTAAACGATCAAAATATAATGAATGGTGTTGTGTCCACGCCAGTACTGAGTAAATCGACATTTCCTAAGTCTTTTAATTCGTACTATTTTGAAATTAAATAATAAACCGATATATGATACAGTACAATTGCTAGAGACTTCCAAACCAGAGGGAGAGATGAAAGCTGACAACGGAGAAGGAGGCAAAGAATTGAATCCAAAAGGAAAAAGTAATTCGAAATCAACTCAGAAATCAAACACTTCAAAGATTCTGGGAATTTCCAACTTAGACATCATGCCGATATTATTAGGTAACGAATATATAACACTTTTTTTAAAAGTAATTTCGCACGAGTTTCATTTATATTAAGGTGATGTGAAAGTGGCGTCGAAGAGGTTTTCTTTATAAAACTTTTCTCCTAACTCGGTTTACCGAATAGTTTGAAACGTTACAACGTGAATAGAGAGACTATAAGGAAGGTCCTGAACCTCATGAAATTTCGTTTTTCATCAAAAATTTATTTGCTTATCATGGACTAGAACCACCATGGCGTGGTCCGGGCACATTTTCGATGTTTTACGCTTCTTGGAGGCTCAGGATCGAAAATTAAGAGTTTCAGGACCTAGCTCAAAGAATGTAGAATACCGTGGAAATGGAATATTACAGAGTCAGATGGGAAAATGTGGTAAATACTTTTACCAACGATTGCAAGAGAATGCTGGCTTGTCCTGCGGCTAACACGTGCTTTTAGAGCAAAAATTTAGTTGCAGCTAAACGTCACAGATGGCGTTGGTTCGTGAAATTTAAACAATCCTGAATTTATGGGATTTCGGCAGTTTTACATCGATCTTTTTATCATTAATTTACCGAAATGACATATAGAATCCTTCAGTTCGTATAATTCTCAACGTAGACTGTAAAAGACTTCAATATAAATATAAATGTCGATAATGGGACGCGCCAGCTTATGTTACCTCCTGAGTATTCAAAACGGCATTCCCACCAAAAAGGGTATAGATGAATTTGACTTTATCGACGTTGATTAAATTTCTTAGCGCCTTTCGTATCCTCTTAAGCAGGTATATTAAAATCAATTAAAGTGTAATCTGAGATGTTTTATCAGGGGAAAGGCGCATGAAAGAAAAACTAATAATGGAACGAAGTAATCGTTCTTTTGACGGGCACGATGCTGCTTGGCCAAATCTTCCCGTTGTTAAAGTCACCATTGAACAAGAGGAGAAAATATTTTTCCCGCATATTAAACCCAATTATTTGAATATAACTGTGGAGGGTTTGTTCAATATCTTGCCGGAATTTACCGAAGGCATGCAATATAAAATCGGCACTGTGGTGTATGCCAATGACGTGGTAAATTTTCAAAATACATTCTCTTTACTCCACACATGGGTCTTACTTCCTGAAATAATTATTATGACCTTTTGACTCAGTCTCCAGAAGAAATAATATTTGACCGAGGAAAGTGGACGAGAGTGTCGGAAATCGAAATGACAAAAAAATGGAATTCCTTATGCTATTTGGACAGTCGTGCTAAATTCTCCAAATACAAATTAAGCACCGATTATAAGGATGTGAAAAATAGTTGTACTAAGAAAATCGACCTACAAGTAAGATCGTTATGAGTGATGAAATATTATCATTCCTTACGTTACTTATTATGTGTAAGGGAAAGTTCTGTCGTTTTTGAAACACGTACACTTCTTTAGAAAAACAACGACAGAACATTTCCTTACACCTAATACATACGTTCTAATTTCTCTTTTCGAATACATATAAATCTTTTGATATGAGTGCAAACTGATAAATTATTTTTGGATGAAAGGTTTTCAATGAATTGTCATTCTATAAAATGATTTCGATAAACTTTCCGCAATCAGTATTATTGTTAGTTTTTAAGTGGATCATTTAACCCTTTAGTTATGAAGCGCCACTATAGTGGAGTTATGTCCCACGGAACCCACTCTAACTACGCGTTAAGGTGAAGTGAAAACCCCTTCAAATCAGTCGATTCGAATACAACACTTTTTTTTAAGGGTATTAGACCAAACTGTCCGAAACTTTGACGCATCACTCCTGATCATCTAAGAATTGTCCTGACACATTCAAAATTTGGATTTTTCAAACAATTTTTTTATCTCAGTCCAGACCAGAACCAAAATGGCGTCGAGCTCTCATATTTCGATCAATATACAATTATCGAAGGCTCTGATGTGAGAAACGAAAGGGTCAGGACAATTTTACGACAATTTAGAACACTCTGGTAATCGATAATTATATAATTAAAGGGTTAAATGTAGGTTGCAAAGTACTGATTTGGTGTGCTTGACGCAGAAAACAATAAACGAGAACGCACCGAGGGTGGAATGGAATTACTTCATGCGTTGGATGATATCGCTAGCAGGGGTTCACGCAATGCGGGATAACATAACCAAGTATTTATGAATTATATTATTCCTCTACTTTGCCTTAAACATTATGTAGCATTACTTGATCATTCCAAAGCACATAACGATGTCGAAATTGAGCATAATTAAATATTCACGTATTTCTTCCTTTTTTTTTAAATTAAGACACAGGTACTGGCCATTTCAACTCGCTTTTACCGACGGGGGTGCAGTGTCTGAAAAAAGCCGAAGCAAAAATTCGGGAAGAGCTCTGCTTTACCAGTGCTACGTCGACCTGACGGAACTCCTTTTTCCTGGAAGTTGGTAGAAATGGAATATGTTAAATAATTTAAAGACGCACAAAATAACAAATATATCTGCTTTTTATTCAGGGAAACGGACTCGTGTTATATCTCAGTTACACACATACAATGTGAATAGTATGTTTGACAAAACCGGTACGAAGAGAGAGATTTTCAATTCCACGATGACGAGGGAATCGAGAGGGTATGACACAAAAGTAAACACCAGTGGCAAGGTTAGTAAAATAGCATCGTGGTTAACACGACTGCAGAATTTTAGTTGCTTAAGGTGAAGTGAAACCCCTTTCAAATCAGTCGATTCGAAGACAACACTTTTGTCACTTTTTCCACACAACTCTAAAACTACGACGAATACACAAAAATGCATAGAAGCAGTTTTGTAGAAAATTAAATTCCCTAGAAAAAAGGTTGCATGTTGTTCACTCTTAGCTTACATGTTTCTTCGAAAAAGTAGACATAATTGTTGTGTCAATAGATATTCTCAACTAAATCCATTATAAGTATATAAAAAACTATGCGAGATACGATAAAAATGCATATCATCTTTCATCTAGGGAATCACATTTTCTATCGGAAAGGTTATATGAAATATCATTGTATCTCGCACAGTATTCGAGATATTAACAAAAATTTGAATATTTAAAATTAAAGAAAATAATTTATATCTCCCAAACTAATTGAGATATCAACTTTTCCTTTGAGATGATGTTTGTTCATATCATACACAAGCATAATAAACTGTATAACCTTGACGCCATGGAAACCGTAGTCTTGCTCTCTATGCCATATACTTGATAAGAGTCTACCGGACTATTTTGTTTTATCGGTAGAGCCAATCCTCCCCTGACAGCGAACTCTTAGAAAGTGCGCCTCTTACAACGGAAGATGGTGAGCCCGTTTTTCTCCTAGTCGAATTCGAGCTTCACGAGCCCCTTATCCGATCAAACCTTTCCGACGACTTCCATAACGTGTAAATACCCAAATTTCTACTTTCCCGTATCTCAAGCGGATTATTTTTCCAAACATTATGCTTTAAAGTGAAGTGAAACCCCCTTCAAATCAGTCGATTCGAATACAACACTTTTTTTTAAGGGTATTAGACCAAACTGTCCGAAACTTTGACACGTCACTCCTGATCATCTAATACTTGTCCTGACACATTAAAAATTTGGATTTTTTTACAACATTTTTGAACTTAGCCCAGGCCAGCATCAAAATGACGTCGAGCTCTCATATTTCGATCAATATACAATTATCGAAGGCTCTGATATGAGAAACGAAAGGGTTAGGACAATTTTACGACAATTTAGATCACTCTGGTAATCGATAAACTCGCATTTGAACGGGATAAGGGCAAAAAAGTGTTGTATACGCTTCGATGCTAAAACGATGGTAATACGAGGTTTCGGAGAGAAAATTTAATTGACCTGGAAATCACAGATGGCGCAGGGGGTTCCTTTGCAGTCAATTAGGGCCCCAGAAAGCACGAATTCAAAGGATTTCTGGAGTTTTACTTCGATTTCTTGATATTTATTGTACGAAAACGATAGGTGGAGTATGGCATTTGGTACAATATCCAACTATGTATTAACTTTGTAGAATAGAAAAACTACTTCCTCCCACGAAGATAAATCTACAGCGGTACGTTTATACAGGCGATTTGGCAGAAAATCATTACTTCAACTGTATTAAAAAAATGGTGGATATTCTATCCGAAAGTTATCAAGTAAGTTAACATCGAGATGTTTATTCTTGCGCTTAAGGTGAAGTGAAACCCCTCTTAAATCAGTCGATTCGAGTACAACACTTTTTTTTAAGGGTATTAGACCAAATTGTCCGAAACTTTGACACATCACTCCTGGTTATCTATGAATTGTCCTGACTCATTCAAAATTTGGATTTTTGAAAATAATTTTTTAACTCTGCCCAGACCAAAATCAAAATGGCGTCGAGCTCTCATATTTCGATCAGTATGCAATTATCGAAGGCTCTGATATGAGAATCGAAAGGGTCAGGACAATTTTACAACAATTTAGAACACTCTGGTAATCGATAAACTCGCATTTGAACGGGATAAAAGCAAAAAAAGTGTTGTATGCGCTTCTATGCCAAAACGATGGTAATACGAGGTCTCGGAGTGAAAATTTAATTGACCTGGAAATCACAGATGGCGCAGGGAGTCCCTCTGCAGTCAATTAGGGCCCCAGAAAGCATGAATCTAGAGGATTTATGGTGTTTTACATCGATTTCTTTATATTTATTGTACGAAAACAACATGTGCAGTATGCCATTTAGTACAATACCGAATATAATTCGACCCAGCTGTCAATATAAAAACGAACGTCGGCAACGTATGTATTTAGAAAAATCTTCTTTACCAACGTCGATCAAGTTCCACGACGTGTTTTGCTTCACCTTAACAGATGAAATACATAAATAGTATATACTATATTTGGCTGCCAATAAAACTGATCTCAATTGCAGGACTTTATGGAACAAAATCAAACGAGTTTTCCTATTACTAAGGAAACAGAGGGACGATTAGTTAACCCATCGATTTCAATGGGATTGGATCGTGATTCCCTAAAGGAAGAAAAGTATTCCCATCTGTATTCTTACACGCAGGTAATGTTTTTATATGAAGTTAATCAGTTAAGATTACCCAAGCCAAATCAGTCAAAACACATGAATGAAATTGACTTTCAATAATTTCAGGATAAGTTAGCTCGCTTTATGCAATACCTTTACGACAATGGACTTTATGTAGCAATGTACACGAGTTTAAAAAGAAAAATCATCTTGTTGTTAGATCAAAAGTTTAAAATCTCCGGCTTGACGTTGGATTCCGAGGAAACACAGGTTTTCGATAGAACGCATTATACACATTTGCTCTTACATTGTTATAATAGGAATTACATGAAATTAATCAAATGTATAATTGTAAACGTATACATCTATGCTTTTTTATAGAATTTCGTGGCAACGGCTTACATATATTTAGTAGAACAAATGCACCAGGTTTTGAATAAAGATGTGGAAGGTCAATTTGAACAAGACATAACAGAAACTCGGAGCAATTTGGATTTTCATTTACATGCCCAAGAATCGTACGAAATGGGGGATGTAGCCGGAGCGATGTATCATCACTCCTCGGTAAGTTTATATTTAAACGAAAAATATTATTTAGTATTTTAAAAAATTCTGGCGATGGATAATGTCAATCTATACTCCGAAATCAATAACGTTAATACATCGCAGAACGTTGCAGAAAACCACAAGGATCCCAATGCATGGGCAAGTTATGCCATATTTTTATTAAAAATCGGCGACCGCGATCGCGCCGTAGAATGTTGTCGAGAAGCGATAATGTTGGATATACGGCACAAAATCGCGTGAGTATGCTACTTGTTAATTTATTTTATTTTAATGGAAATCTTCAGGTTGAAATCTTGACGAAAAGGACTTACAAGGAAACATTCCCAAGTGTCCGCCTCCGATCTTATTGAGTTTCATATATGTTGAAGAACACAAAAATCTAAGAGACACGTGTTTTTTATATCTGCAATGGTCCACATTTAAGGGGTGAAACAACCCCCCAAAATTTAGCGAAAAATCGGTTTTTTAAATATTTTTCGTAGGAGCAGTGGAGGGATTTCGACGAAACTTTGTATAAACATATTCTGTATAAGGACGGTGACAACACAATATTGTTCAGCAATGTTGCACCCCCTCAAGGGGGTGAACTACCCTTCAGGTGACATTTTTTTGTAATATCCATTAAACAAGCACTCCTACTTAAGTTCCACTTACGCGATGTGATTGCTCGCAAAAAATTAAGAAATACGTGTTTTTTGCTTTTTGCCAATAAACATTTACACATCGGTTGTAAACAATGAATGTAGGTGGTATTAGGGTATATCCCGACTACCTTTATTGGGTTATATCGTGACCAATTCATCGTACATAAGTCGTGTCAACGTGGTAATTCTTCAAAATGTCATTGATTTTCATAACATGCAATTATTTATAAATAAATTAAAAAATAGTTTCAGAGGCTAAAATTGTTTCGCAACGGATTCGACGATGCAGTCATCACCCGTTTCCAATTAGTAACACAATCTCCGTGGTGAAACGATAAAATTGGATTTACACTGTTTCACTTCACCTTAATGTTCCAAAGTCTTTATGAAATTATTTATTTTTAGGTTAATCATTTATGGAGTCATACTGGCTGAAGCTGAGCAATATCGCGACGCCGAGATAATTCTTCGGGCACTGACCAATTTTTATCCACGATTTCCAGAAGGTTGGACTATTTTGCAATTATTGTACCTTCGCGGAGAGAATTTCCAAGGTAAGACAAATATGAATAAACTATCACGAGGGATGAAAGGGCCGTTCAAAGAATTTCTAATATTCTTCAAATGTCAATCGAGAAGTTCCTCGTTCCTCCAAATACTCCAATATGTATATATAAAAGAAGTTATATAGGACCCGTTCTGGACTACTATGTGTACGTGCACACGTACTCGGACTCACACACGCAGGTTCTAGTCCATGATACGTAAATAAATTTTTGATGAAAAATGAAATTTCATGAGTTTCAGGACCTAATTTAGGGCCTCCATATTCACGTGGTAAAATTTGAAACGAATCGGTACACACATTGATGGTCTTCTTGGGTTGGCAGTCTGATTTTCGTCAAGCGGACTCAGGACTTCCTTTCGCAAGCTTATTTCACAATCGCGTGCTAGTTTACGCAATTCCTTGGCTATCTTTCGGGTTACTAGGTTATGATTTAGAAATTTTGGAGGCGTAAAGGACGCCTACGTAACACATAGACTCGATGTATGTGTATGTGCCCGTTCATGTGTCCGCACGGACACACATAGCGGCCTAGAACCAGCCTTATTGTTGTTGTTGTTACCTACTTCCATTACCTTACTGTTGTTGTTGTTACCTACTTCCATTACCTTACTGTTGTTGTTGTTGTTAACTACTCCTAGAACAAGGATTTGTTATAAATTATAGGCGTAGACATAACAATCCGAACAGCAGAAAAATGCCTGGTTAACAAGGATCAAGACACGATTTGTGATCATTATTTAGGAGAACCTCTCTCCTGGTCAACCAGTTTATGTCCCAAAAATAATGTATACCAAAGGACGGCTGTATTATTATTAAAGATGAGTTTATTCGACGTAAGTTTGAATTCGATTTTTTTTAGCGTTTAAGGTTGGGCTGTCTCTAAAATCGATCTCGAACGTGTCCGGAAAATATGCCAAATTTATTTGTCTGCAGAAAAAAGGTTTAATATCAAGTTCTGACCAACAGAAATGTGTAACATATATTATAAATTTATTTACGTATATAAATATATATCACACATGTGTACTAAATTTATAATATATGTTATACATGACAATTTTACAACAATTTAGAACACTCTGGTAATCGATAAACTCGCATTTGAACGGGATAAAAGCAAAAAAAGTGTTGTATGCGCTTCTATGCCAANCACATGTGTACTAAATTTATAATATATGTTATACATTTTATTTGAAATTATGTTATAAAATTAGTATACCAGGCCTGAAGAAAACGTCCATCAAAAATGTTATAAAATTATAATATCTTTTTTAACAATGTCGTTCACCCATATTTCACTTCGCCAGTTACGAAAGAACAAAGGCCCTAATTCGACGGAATACAATGCAACTGCTAGTTCAACAAATCGGCCGATCTCCAGGATATTTTAAATATTTTGTATTACTTCAGTTTGCAGGAATCGCACTAGCCCAAGAAATAGCATTATCGGAAAAATCTGTGAGCGCCCTTTACTACTTAGCTGTTCAGCATTATTTGTCAAACAGATACGAGGACGCTTTGTACCATTTAAATGAAGCTCAGAATAAACACGGAATGGTAACTATAGGATATAAAATGAATGCCTTTTAAATGGTAATGCATGTTTTAATTTTTTATTAATAATTCTCGTTGCTTCACGTACTTCAGGATTACTGGATAGCAAGTTTAAAAGGACATTGCTTCTTCAAATTGAATGATTTTGAAAATGCGATTTATTGCTACGAATTTGCCAACGTGTCTTTCGACCGACCTAAAAAGATTCACCTGGTCCACCTCAGGTAAAATGAAACGCAACTAAAATTGATCTCAAGATTCAGTTCTAATTTGACTCATTTTTCCTTGAGAGCCACCCTCGAGTCACTTAAAATAAATAGTGGATAAAAAGGAAAGGGCCGATAAAGGACGAAAAACATTTCCCGGTATTAAGGTGAAGTGAAACATCCTTCAAATTAGTCAATTCGAATACAACACTTTTTTTTAAGGGTATTAGACCAAACTGTCCTAAACTTTGACACATCACTCCTGATCATCTAAGAATTGTCCTGACACATTCAAAATTTGGATTTTTCAAACAATTTTTTATCTCAGTCCAGACCAGAACCAAAATGGCGTCGAGCTCTCATATTTCGATCAATATACAATTATCGAATGCTCTGATATGAGAATCGAAATGGTCAGGACAATTTTACGACAATTAGAACACTCTGGTAATCGATAAACTCGCATTTGAACGGGATAAAGGCAAAAAAAGTGTTGTATGTGCTTCTTTGCTAAAACGATGATAATACGAGATCTCGGAGTGAAAATTTAATTGACCTGGAAATCACAGATGGCGCAGGGTGTCCCTCTGCAGTCAATTAGGGCCCCAGAAAGCACGAATCCAGAGGATTTCTGGAGTTTTACTTCAATTTCTTGATATTTATTGTACGATAACGACAGATGGAGTGTGCCATTTGGTACAATACCCAATATAATTCGATACAGCTGTCAATATAAAAACGAACGTCGGCAACGTAGGCATTTAGAAAAATCTTTATCGACGTTGATCAAGTTCCTTGACGTGTTTCACTTCACCTTAAATCGTCCTCGAGGAGGTGAAATTTCATCGCTCCGAATGTAATTTGGATTTGAATCCGCAGGATGGGAATGCATTATTTAAATAAAAAGGACTACGGCAAAGCTAAAAATGCTTTTCTCAGCGCCTGTAAGACTTGTCCTTCTCCTGGTACATGGTTCGGCGTTGGTATTGCTTATTATCACGTAAGTCAATCATTAATATTATATCAATTCGATATCTCTAAATTATAAGTCAAATTATAAAGCGTTCGCTAACCATAAAATAATTAGTTGAAAGAATTTAAAGATGCAGAGATCGCCCTCACGGAAGCCAACAGACTCAATCTTCGCGACCCAGAGATATGGGGCTATTTGTGCTTAATTAACGTCCAACAACAACGACGCAGTGAGTCTATCCAATGCTACCGACAAGCTGTTAAGGTAAATGGAATCTCCACACTTAAGAGATATTGCATTCATGTTCCATCATAATGCCTTGTAAATATCTCTACATCTTCCTTGCGTTGAATTCAAACAAGGGAAATCGATTTTTTCAATCCGTTACATCATTAAACGTTTCCAAACGATTAGACACCGATGTGCAAAAATAGAAAAGTATGCTCAGTGGTGTCAATAAGTTTTAGAGATTTATTGTAACAATTTCCTTCTATCCTACATTTCCTTCTCTTTATTAGAACGGCCTTAAGAATCTGGAATTATGGCTGATGATAAGAGACTCGATGAAGAATCTGAGTTACGAGTTACCGATGTCACCAGAAATTTCAAAGGGCAGTTCCAAAGAAGAGTCGGAATCACGAGGTTAACAATAATTGGTTAAGAGAACAGGAAAAAAAACGAAAAACATCATCGCCTGAGAAGAAATATAATTAGGATAAGAAACAAATAAATCAATTTAAATTACCCATCACTTGAATAAACTCAAATGATTCATCGAACGATTTCGCGAAGCTCGTGCGTGGGAAGGCTTTAATACATAATTTTACTTAACTTCAATAAAGTTACTAACTTAATTTTACTTAAACCACAAATAAAGTTAAGGTGATATGAAAGAGTCAGCCTATGTATATCTTAGAGATCAAATCTCCGTCAAGATAATATTCTAACTTCGGTTCAGCGAATGGAACAATTGAATCACTAAGAAACTTGTTAACATTTAATAGAACATGTTCTATTATATTCTTTATGAAATTCTGTAAATTATTATTTAAAAAAACTACGTTAGGTGGGTCAGGGACGCTCCACAGTAATACTAAAATAATTTTCATTAATTGTTTTTGTTTATAAATATTTATTTTCTTGAGGAAATCCATTCTGCCCCTCGAGCGATTCGAATTCCGCGATTCTCCCGCCGCTAGTACGCTGCGCGGCCGGAGAGGGCAGTGCGGACCAGGTGCAAGCCATCGATGGAGTCCAGTGTTCATACGTGTCACTTTGCCCCTACCTAGTTCGATTCATCTCAAAGCATTTCCGTCGCGTCCCCCACCACCCATACATTCCATCCTTTTAATATTATCTCGATGACATAGATAAGTGAATCCGGGCTTCTATGGAACTTACGAATTCTATGGTGGCTGTGAGAATCCCTGTTGCGAGTTCTGAGATAGAAGGTAGAGAATTCTCGTTAATCGTTATTTTATTTTGGCAAATGTTCTTATTTAGCCTCGACTATTTGCAGAACTACTGGTTAAGTAGGAATGAAGGAATTCGGAAATGGTCTTTCACGGGCATGACGAGGAAACGTAGTCGAATGGCTAATTCATAGGTTTTGTTTCCTGCAGTTTTTAGTCCACTGTTGTTTTAACAAGAAGAAGCAAATGACATAGAAAGTGATCTCTTGCAGATCCGTAAACTGGTTAAAGGTTAATGCTTAGTACTCTAAAGAATTTTCATGACTTTATTTTGGCGAATGATCTAAGGCCGAACGACGTTTCTGGTTATTAATCATTGTTTTAATAAAATGATGTCATTAGCTACACGTAACGGTATTATATTTGGTAATATGCTATCGAAGAGTTTTGTTTGACTTTAAATAAAGATTTTCATATTCATATCTAGTATTCAATTTCAGATGGCAGCGAATGCTCTAGAGGAAAGAATTAATAAGATCCGACAACAGAATGAGGAAATCAGGCGGAGACACGAGGTTATCATTGCTAATAATTGTTATCGTTGGGATATATCCATTAAGAATATTTCTTTAAGGATGTGTTAGTTCATTTATGTTAATTGTTAAAAGGAAGTGGAAGCGGATAAAAAATATGCTGCACAGTTAAATGCTTTAGTACAAATGGTGCCATCAACGGATTGGCCAGAACGCAAGGAGCCTCCTGAGTTTTCAAATCCTCCAAAAAGTAATCAGAAACCTAAGCCAATGAGCAAGGAATATAATGCTGAATATGTTCAACATTATGCTGGGGGTGGCGATGGGAAAAAAATACATACGTTTGCTCAGGTATGTTTTAGTAGCAAATTGTAGTTGATAAGAATTATATTAGTTAAAGGAAACCAGTATCTTCACCTTTAATTTCATTACGACACGGTGAATTTTAATTTTTGTTGTGCTACTTAGGGTGAAGGACCTCCACCAGATCCTAAATATAACTTCCTTGCTGATTCTGAACGCGAGGAACATAATTTAGAAGATGGAAGAGATGGTGATAAAGCCAAAGGGCGATCGAGACCTCCACGAGGAAGTTCAAGAAAAAGAGGCTCTGGTAAGGAAGTTCAGAAGGTATGTAATTAAAGTTGTGATTTAAATAAGTTATTGTTTTATTCTTATCAATTTATGTCTGCAATAGACTAAGACGAATTTATAAAATGTGAGAATATCTCTTAATATCATTGTAGTCTGATTATCGAGGCTATCAGGCTATGTCAAGAGATGGAGTTTATCCAGAGTATGATGCTTGGAGAGCTGAACGAAATCATATCGATGAAGCTCGCATCAGCAGACAACGTACTGCGGAAGGAAATTGGCGTAGGGAGTGGGACAATGATAAAGTAAGAATTGTTTGTTCATTTAATGTATCGACAGTAATGCAGAATTTTGATTTCTTGCTGGGTACAATTACCACATTTCTTTTTTCATTTTCTTTGCTTTTTTGGTAACACTCTTTTTCATGTCTAGAGGATTAATGGCACATTATTAAATTCTAAATTACATATACATTAAAAAAAATGAGATATAAATGAGAAAATAATAATTATAAAACAATTGATCACAAATTGTATTCTGACATCAGGATGTACATCCTGGTTAAAAAGAAGTGCATTCTAACATGGCGACATTGTAGTTCATATGTTAAAAATCATAAAAAATATCAACACAATTAGTTCTTGATACACTATATCCCTGTATAATAAATAAATACGATCAATTAATATAATAATATTTAAGGTAGGGGTTGAAACAGAATCTCAAAATTCATCAGGAGCTGAGATTGCTCGAAGAGATCATAAAGAGTTTGACAGACACCAATTTGAAGGTTAGTTTAAATATAATAATCTATATTATCGAAGAATTTTTCATAAAATTAATTTATTTTATTTATAATTTATTTTATATGTTCCAATTATTTAAATTGTGGAGGTCATGGAAACTATCGCCCTCATCGAGGATCTCACAGAACGTTGTACAGTAATCGTGGCTATCATCGTTCCAATTCTAATGAGCAATACTATGGTTCTACTACTCCAAATACAATGAAGCCATTGTCTCCTAATAACACCGATGAAAGGACAGTAATTGCTACCGATAAAAGTATTAAAGTTACTTTGAGTCCAGGAGCCAGTGTAACAAAAGGTCCTGTCATGAGTGTAAAGGGTAGGATATACATCATGTTATTAATGATAGTAATTTACAGACAACATTTATATCCCTCATGAGGATACGAAAGGCACTAAGAAATCTAATCAATGTCGAAAAAGTAAAATTCATCTATACCCTTTTTGGTGGTAATGCCGTTTTGAATAATCAAGTGGGAACATAAGCTGGTGCGTCCCATTATCGACATTTATATTTATGTTGAAGTCTTTTACAGTCTACGTTGAGACTTATACGAATTGAAGGGTTCTATATGTCATTTCGATAAAGTAATGATAATGATTTGACCTCTCAGATATGTATAGGCTGATTCTTTCATATCCTCTTATAAAGCTAAGTTACAGTACCAATATGTTCCTTATTAGATTTATCATTTTACTGTAGTAACGTCAATTCTTTTGTTGAAGATTCTTATACATTTTAGGCTTCTTTCGGTCAATGAAATGTTTATTATAAATAACGATTTAATTGCAGTGAGTTCTCCTAGTATAGCTGGCACTGGTCGAGTGGGTCCTCGACAGAAGACTCGAGTGATGTACAGCAGTCAGTCGAAAGCAGAAGTGACAACCCGGGAGCTCGAAACATTCAGTCGGCAGAAATCTTTTGACGAGAAGACCAAAGGAATGCACTTCGATCAATCTCAGCGAGCGCCAGCTCTGAAGAGAAAAAAGGAGAATAACTTGAAGTCGCCGCACGCTCAAAGGAAAACCATGGATTTGGATAAGGATGACGTACCTACCAGTGCTTTGAAGCGAGTAATTGATAACGACCCGAAGTCCCCCTACCTGCAGAGGAAAGACATGAAAACGTCGCTAAAGTCACCGCACTCGCAGAGGCGAAATGCTAAAGAGGAGAATGTTCAAAAATCCCAGATGCAGGTGGACATAACAAAATGTCCGGGCCCTGGGAAAACATCTGTCGATAAGAATATCGTGGATAAACAAAAAATCTCCAATTTGTTAGATAAGTACGATCGGAACGGGGAAGGTGCCAAATTTAATAATAAAAGGTTTGACAATTTATCCAATTCTGATAAATTTAGGGAAGTCAAGTTCCAAGTCGATGGAAGCATCGCTCTTTCGGTAGGTGAAAATTCTGATGCAATATTCAAAAAGAATAACACTGCTGGAAATGAGGAGGGAATTAAGGCAGAAAATGTTATAAAACATGTGGAAGCTGGAATCGATACTTCGGGGGTGGAAGATGAGATAAAATCTCAGGGAAATATCGAGATGGTCGAAGAGGTGAGTAAAAGTGCTATCGTGTCCGGGAATCAGGAGAAATGTTTGGATGGCGGGTTGAAGAATCACGGGGTCTCTGAAATACCTAATTCAGATGTGAGAGATTCAATAAGCGTTGAAGTAAAGTCTCAGGAAAAGAACACGACCATTGCAGTTGGAGGAAATGTGCCGATTGAGTCTGCACATCAGAAAAATATACCAATTAATGAGGACAACGAAACTTTCGTAGAAGCCGGTCCAGGAAATCCTGATTTGTCTGAAAAGGAGATTGAAAAAGGTACGAACAAAGATATTATCGAACATTTTGGAAACTCAGTCTGTAATGTGGTCGGGTTCTCAAACGTAGCTGATGAAAATAATTCAATCGGAAGCATGTTAAATGTTCAGAAGGAAGAAACTGGAAACTGTCCTGGAACTGCCAAAGAGCGAGAATTGAATGAAGCTGCTGACGAAGAAATGGTAGGTACAAAAGAGGAGCAAATATGCTTTGATAAGCCTACGGAAAGCAAAGATGTAATCACAACTCCCGAAGACTCGAACAATGGACAGAAAATTGGGGAAATTGAAAAAGCAATTAATGCCAATCAATCCCAGAATGTAAGGGTTCCTAACGATGAAAAGGACATCTCGAATCCGGCAAGTATCGGAGACGAAAAAAGTCTTTCAAATTCTTCTCTTTCCGACCAACCATACGTTAAAGTGAATTTAACGGGAAAAGGTGACGAACAGGAGGCTTCGTTAAATTCGGCGGACAATGCAGATGTAGAAGTATCAGGGAAAAATGTAAATCCAGACGAAGCAGCTGTAAAATGTGAGATTAGAAATGATTCTGCTTCGGCGTTGAATAATCAGGTTTTATGTGATAACAGGAATCTTGAGGAGGGGCAGTCGGATAAAATTCAAGTCGGAACCGAGAAAGAAGTGGAATTAGTAAAAATGATCGCGAAATCGGATGGTTGCATCGATTCCTCCATTTTGAAAAATAATCCCGAGGAATCAATTGGTGCTTCGATAGTGGACATTCAGACTTCAGATTTGAAAATCGTCGAAATCGAGAAAAATCTCATACGCGCATCTGAACCGGAGGGTACTGAAGGAAATGAAGACTTTTCGAAAACCGAAAGTACTCGGACTCAGGAAACAACGATTATGGATACCTGTCCGGTAAAAGATCAAACTGCAGAAGTCGTCATTGAATTGTGCTGTCAAAATGTTGATCGCAGAGACACTGTTGATACTACCGGTGAAAGTTATGCACCGGCCGAAGGAATGTGAATTATTTAAAGAGAAAAGTAATAATGTATAGAAAAGAGAATATATAGATATAATGTGCGAGCACATTTAATCTTAGGACGAGACCGCGTGACAATTTGTGATATAGAAATCGACAAAAAGGAGAGATTTAATTTTTAATATCGGGTCTTGCGAATCGTTTTAATTTTCATTCTATCTTGGAAATTCTTTACTCATATCGGATAAATCGCGACGCTGAAGGCAAAAAGGCGTATTTTAACCCATTTGCATCATAAAGAAGTATGAAAAAGAGGGTCCTTATCACCAAATTTTTCTTTTTTCATTTTTAATTGTTTTTAAGTACAAAAATCACAAGTAAAAGAACTTCATACTTCAGCATTCTGTAATTAAAAATGGAAAAAAATATATAAATAATAATAACAAAAATAATAATATAACATACATAAGAAAAAATCAGTTGCAAATATGCGGTCTATGCCCATATATATATTATTGATAATGGCGGGAATGTTTATTAGTTATTTTGTGCAGTATGATAGTATTTAAAGGGTTGAATGCATAAAGCCACTTCACAATTTTCACCCTGATAAATTGTTTCTCTTCTTTTCTTTAGAAATAAACAAACGAGTTTTTCTTGATGATGTTACGATTGTTGGAAAATGTTGTCCAGTAAATCTTGATGGCAATGATAGGCACTTTGTAACTTTTCAGGTTTCTTTTTTTTTTTTTTTATATTTGTGTGATAGTGACCAGTAAAATTAAGCGTATATATACGCTAGTGATGCAAATGGGTTAACACTAAACTTGCGGCTGGTAAAATTGACCTGCTTAAATGGTATTTGTAATGGGGGTATAAATTGTCATTAGGTTTAGTGTTAAATTCCGAGGGAGGGAAAAAATGTCCCGGTTAAGTTTGATTAAGAGTTGGTTGTTTCCTACATTCTCATGGGAATTATATACCTCGGGTTGTGTAATTGCAGTTTCTGGAAAGCCATACACTAGGCATACATTTTGCGCACATTTATTTGAACAGGACTAATTGTTTTGACATTTTGACGACCCTAGAATTCTAAAAAGGTGGTACGATAGAAATAGAGTTGTTTCTTTTTTACGTAGATTTTTTATCATTTCTACACCGGAAGAGAAACTAAAGAAGAAAAAGCGGCGTTTTTTATTTTGTTGTAAACCGAGTGAAAATCATTGCTTTCTTTTAATTTAAAACATGCGTGCACTTGCATAAGGAAGAAGGAAATCCTTAAAGATTTTTCTGACCTCCAGGATAAGATACATTATTAATACTTTATTATTATCTTTTAAGAGATCGTTCCATTTCTCTCTTTATTTCGTTACGATCGCGCATTATTGTTTTATCTTCCTTACTGCGATGGAGGTATAGACTACTTTTTACGATACAGAGTTCAGGAATATTCCGTTTAAAGTTTCGTCTAAAAACATTATTTTTTGCGACTTCCGGAGGAATTTGTTAACAGAGATACTTCTTAACACTTTATAGTAGATGGTTAATTTTACATTTGTTACTCCGTACGATATGAACCATAAGCGATGCAATGGTCAGACGATAGATGGCGATTGTTGGATTATCTTTTGCTGCTAAATAGCATGTCAACGGTAGTTGGCAACAATCACAGTGTGCTGTGAATGGCGTCGTTTAGATTAAGGCCCTTACTTATGCCTCACTTTTATGGTGGCTCTTAAGGAGTTACACCACTTTGACCCACCCAAAAATTACGGTGTTTCAAGAATTTTTTCTTAAGAATTAAAACGTTCTTATCCAAATTAAAGTACAGTAAGGTATTATACTACTATTAAACAACAAAAAATGTTTATTTGTTCCAGACCAGGATCAAAGACATGTATTTGTGATATTTTATGCCGTTTGAAAATTTAGAATTAAAAGAAATACTTTCAGTTTTTAGGCAATACCATTTAGAATACTTTAGTAACCGGACATTACGGAATAATGTGGAAAACATTCAGAAAAGTTTTATACATTAAGGGGTTACACCACTTTGACCCACCCAAAAATTACGGTTTTTCAAGAATTTTTTTTTAAGAATTAAAACGTTTTTATTCAAATTAAAGT